CTTTTGGCCTAAAATCCTTGCTGTGACACCCTATGTTTGTACCACAGCAGCCAGACCCCATTCCCCCAGTTTTTAGATACATGAAACAAGATTACAGTTACTCAGTGGCAGTCTTCTCCCATCCAATGTTAAGTCCAGTAGTTATGCAGAGGCATGGCCTTTTCACAGGTGACAGGTTGACAACAGGATAGCCTCCCCAGAGACATTCATTTGCTTCCCACCTCGCTCATTGTGGTGCCAAATTAATATTCTTACTTAGGAAAGCATTTAAAATGAGCCTCGTGGCGCAGTGGTTAAAACACTGTACTGCAGCTAAAACTGTGCTCACGACCTGGGGTTCAAATCCCAGGTAGCCGGCTCAAGGTTGACTCAGCCTTCCATCCTTCCGAGGTCGGTAAAATGAGTACCCAGCTTGCTGGGGGGGCAATGTGTAGCCTGTATAATTAAATTGTAAACCGCCTGGAGAGTGCTTGTAGCGCTGCTCATTGTGGTGCCAAATTAATACTCTTACTTAGGAAAGCATTTAAAGACGGACAATGGAAGGCCCTTATGCCATAACTTCAATTTTTTGCATGAGTACCCAGCTTGCTGGGGGGGCAATGTGTAGCCTGTATAATTAAATTGTAAACCGCCTGGAGAGTGCTTGTAGCGCTATGGGGCGGTATATAAGTCCAATCAATCAATCAATCAATCAATCAATCAATCAATCAATCAATCAAGACAAACGATGGAAGGCCCTTATGCCATAACTTCAATTTTTTGCTACTGCTGCTGCTACTTTTGGGTAGTTTCAGTTATTTCAATGTGTTTTTTTTAGTATGTAGTGCCCTAGTCTTTACCTGAGGGAGGGTTTTTTTCTTACTATACCCAAGACAAGCAAGTTTTGTTTGGTTCCAGTGTAGAGAAGGGGCTCTGTCTGTTGGGTATCTCCTAACTGGAATCCCTTACAATGAAATTAGGTAAGTCCTCAATGCTGGCTGCTTCTTTCAACACAAGCAACCTAGTTTTTAATAAATTGTTTTGTTTTAAAATTATTGTTTTGCTCTTTTTTCCACCAACTGGTTTTATTTCCCCTGTTGTTGTTTTTGTTTTTCACTGTAAAACACCTTTCCAATATGATTAATGATTTTAAAAAGCATAGACATGCTATAAAATAAATAAAAATAACACTTTGTTTTAATTAGATTTGTATTTCATATACCTACAATCAATGCATCCTTCCCTCTGTTCTCTAAAGAAGAGATGCGAATGCTTTACATAAATAAATAAAACGACTGAACAATTAGGAGGTTGGGCAGGCAAGCGACTTCTGGCTCCCCAGTGACTCTATCCAGGCAGCTTCTGCCAGCTTAGTTTTCTGATCATTCTTCTGAAGCAGTATTTAAATTCAGGCCTGCATCCTCCACAGTGGAGAACCTCATCCATAATTCAGAAAAAGGCTACTGACTTGGCCTGCCCCCTTTCCCCCATTTGACACCTTCAATGTGCTGAACAAGGTACTGCAGTGCTCACGGCGAAACCCTTTCAGTAGCTTATCCACAACAGATCAAAAGGGGAGCAGCTTTTAAAGCAATCTCCAAAGCACTGGGGTGATTATTAATTCATCCGAAGGTTTCCTTGCTAAGTGTCTATCTATCCCCTCACCCACCCCTTTCCCTCCTTATGCTACATTTAAATGCCTACTGGTTGACAATTTAAACACAGGATCCTTCCTGATGAAAAGCAATGTTTACTGTATTAAAATTAATTCTTGATGAGCTTTTAATGAAAGGTTGTATACATGGAACAAACCCACCAACAATCAAACTATTATGGTCTGAAGTAAGTAATGAGAAGGCACTTGGTGTGTTTAATTTTACCAGGCATTATTTTTAAATGAAATGGAAAAGATTCTTCTAGCACATTCTATCATGAACTGATGTCTAATTACTCTGGTGCTTTAAATGAAATACTGAACTATCCCCTTTTGTACCGAAAACAAGGTAGAGGAAAGGTAAAGACATTAATGTTCTTCCGGCACTGCTTTAAATCACTCTATGGTTATCTGTTTTCTCAGAAAAGGAGACTTTCAGCTGAAATCCTGTTCCACCATTATGCAAATGGTATATAACTTTTAGATGTGAATTGCTTTGTCAAGAAATCTCTGCAGATATTTATCTGTTGCACACAGAGATGTGCCACTCACTTTCTTAAAATGGCATTTTGCTTCCAAAAGTTATGCAGTTTGCATAACAGGAGCTCGGGGAGTGAGTAACACTGACTATACAGGGAAATCCAAAGCCTTTTTTTTTTGGTTGACAGCAACTTCCACCTGGAAATGATGGAAGAAAAACCAGCACGTTGAAGGTCTGGCGAACACAGCAAAGCCCATAAAGGAAATACTGAGATGGGATCCCCGCTTCAGTTAATGCTTGTTTCTTCTAGCCAGTGCTCAAGCTGACCATTCTAATGGTCTCATCATTCCCTTCAAAACAGCCCCCATCAAAAATTGTCACGAAAAAGAAATTAGGAAGGGTTCACTGGGACCCAGTTTATCAATGTTCTGTTAACCTCCTCAAAGACTGTACATGCCAACCTTCCTGTCTCATTTCTCAAAACCAACAGATCCAACATAGATCTGGTTCTGCATCCAGTTTAATCCCTTCATTTTCTAGCCCTCTTGCCTCGGAACTGATCCTGCAAACGTTCAGAAACAAGCTCCTGCCATCTCCTTCTTCCCTGGGCATGTGGAACTGGCCGCAGGAGTCAATCTAAGCAAGAGCACCTTTGAACATTTAGACCTGTTCATCCAAAGGACAAACTGGCACAAACTGCTGAGCAACAGGGAGGCATTTTGCTACCCAATTCTTATTTGTCCGCCTAAACTAGCAGTTATCATTATGTATATATATTATTTCTCATTATTCATGAAAGGATACATAGAAAAGATGTTATTATTTGTAATTCGTAATGATTTGTAATTCAAATAAATAAATTAATTAATACTGCTTTTGGATTTCAGATTTTTTTTACTGTAATATACTGTTCTATATTGCTTCGGTTATCATGCACACTCCTTTGAGAAGGTTCCACTCTCAAAGGCAGTCTGAAATTAATGTTAAATGAACTTATCTTTAAGTTTATCTTTGATTCTCCATCTTGTATGTCTGTTTATTATTAAACTGTTGTGAAATTGTATCTTTACGTCAATTGTTTTTATTTTATCTGTTGTGAGCCGCCCAGAGTAGACAATGTCTAGATGGGCTGCATATATGTCTAATAAATAATAACAATTAATAAATTCTGCCTGTTGACCTGGTAGGTGGCAATGGAGTTCCTCTTGCCTTCTGGTATATAAATGGTTTTAAAATTGGTTTTTGGAATAACTTTAAATCTGTTTGTAAGGAATGCAGGCTTTAAAAATGAAAAAGAAAAACTACTTACAATCTCTATTATTGGCCTGCTTTATTGCATCTTGCTTTAGGAGTAGAGGTGGGTTCAAACCGCAGGCTCAGCAGTTTGTGCCGACTTGTCGTTTGGATGGCTTGTCGTTTGGCGCTTCCTAGCCTTGCCTCCTCCAGTGAAGGCCCACTCAGAGGCAGCGCCCAGAGGAGGCAGGGCAGGGAAGCAGGGCCAGATGGGTGGTTTGTTTGCTTTTCATCTCTATTTGAGAGCCCTAGTGGGTAGAAAAACAATATTTACTAATTAATTGATTAAGGCCAATAGCAGAGACTGCCTTGTTATTTCTTTTAAAAGAGACACACCCTTTCGATGCTCCAGGAATCACCTGTAATCATTTTATTAATGCCAAATTCTGAGGAGGGGCACAAATCAAGCCTTGACCAACAATCTCAACTGCTATGTTGTATGCAGTTATAACTATGACAGGTGAGGGAATCCTGCTCCCATTATCCCTTGCTTGTATTGTTTCCCGCTGTCCATGTGGTGGAGAAGGCAGTCTGAAGAGGTGAGCCCCCCATAAAATGTTTAATCTCTTCTTACAGGTTAAAAACATGTCTGCACAGGACGCTACATCATTGGGGGGGGGGAACTGTCTACACCTGTAAAGGAGTTTCCCCTCTTCTGACCCACCACATCAAGTGGAAGTGGCAGGTCAGGTCCTGCAGAGGATATAAGACATAAAACCTGGTCAGGGGTAAGATTTTGGCCTATAATACAGTAATGCATCTTTGTGTATTGTCTCCTCCAATGTGTACATCAAAGGAAAAAAGTCTACACTTTTTTCAGTAAAATCGACAAATAATCTAGAAGACTTAATTTTAAAATACAATGATTTTATATTCTGCGTTATTTTTAATCTTAGAAAGCGTACTTTTTTAAAAAAAAGAACGGCAACAAGTTAAAAGAAACTGGATGCTGTTGCTTTGATAACTTGGCTTTGTAGCCTCAGCGCTGATCCAGGTGTCTCTTGATGTTTTTAATACTCTGATAACAATGCATCATGCCCTGCCCCATAATAAATACCCTTTTTAGTGAAAAGACTCAAATAAGCAATGTCTTCTTGCTATAGAGACAGAACAAAATATGTTCCAAATTGTACTTCAGGTGAACTAAGGTTTTTGCTTCAGATATTTACCAACTTACTAGTTTCTGTAAATGCATTTTAATTTCCCCAGTCCTCACTGAGGAACCCTGTCCAATAACTATCATGCCTCAAGCATCTGATGTAGTGGAACTGGGCTCATGAAAATGTACACCATAATAAATTTTCATCCTCAAGATGCAAGGAATCTTCACAAGTTATTTTCAGTTTGAGATCGACAAAAAGAAAATACTCCTTTTTTATACTCTGTAAGAACGGCAAAATTCTTCACAACTAGAGATTCAATGTGGGAAATAAGTTGACATGTGGTGTTAACCAAAATATTTGCACTCCATCAAAGTGGATGAAGGTATGCCTAGTTTGACTGAAACAGGTTGCTCACCTTACAAAAAACAACAACGACAAAACCTTCTTTAGGAGATTACAAAAAATAAAACAAAACATCTTGGATACTCACAGCGTGCTTAGGTTTTCTAGGCCTGTAAAGGCCCCACTGGTGTCTTCTATTGTGCCTGAAATCTCATTATGGTCTAGATTCCTAGAGAGAAGACAAAAGAAAGCTGGCAATCAATTTCCCAGTTTGTGAGTTCAATGCTAGAAGAGACAAAGGGTAACCTTTAGGAAGAGTTTACCAAAGGCCTCTACTTTTTTTCTTTATAACATAAAGCTTTTCTCAGAACTGCCCAGTACTTGTAGAAAAAGCAGGGGCAATCAACTCTCACAGACTACATAGACCTGGCCTCTTCAACACTGTTTTCATTCAAAGAAAGCTACTAAAACTGATGCTTCTTTTGCCTAACTCCTTTTTTAAACCAGAAGCGAATTTTGGGCCTCTTGTGGTTTGGGGGTGTTTTTTTTTTTAAGCCTAGTTGTTTTTGGTATTTCAGAGGAAGAAGAGAAACAAAACATTCTTCCAAGTTAGATTTTTTTAAAAAATTGGCTAGAGAATAATTAGCACCACTATCACCAGGACAGCATAGTTGGCACCGAGCATGAGAACTGCACCCTGGTGTCCGTGTATTTTCTTGAGCACAGTGACACAGAAGTGGCAGCTGGAAAGATCTCTGAACAGAGAGAAGCCAGAGGATAGGTATAATTCACAAAGCAGGGAACGTAAAGTGGTACAAAGAAAAATCAGTAGAAACAAGAAAGCCTTCCTATGTCTACTATGGCCAGAGTTGTATCAGCGGCTGCGTTCGCAGCAAAACTTGGCTTCTTTGAATCACATGTGTTTGGCTTTATGAGTATTAGATGAATAATTTTCACCTCTCTCAAGCATTTGCCCACATTCCCTCCCCTTCTGTTTTTGTCAGTCTATACTTGAAGGAGTGTGAAGTGGCACACACTTAGAATGCCACAGCTAAGACTGGCTATGAACATCCTAGGAACAGAGTGTATGAGTGATGTTTCATCAGCATATTCCTTTTTTTCCTTTCATCTTTTAATTTTATTTCTTTATTTAATTCATTTATATACCACTCTATTAGTGCAACACACTAGTCTGGGAGATGTACAACAAGGGGAAATGAAACATAAACAAACGACAATCACATTGTTAATTGACCTTCAGATTATGTTTTCTATAAAAGGACAGAGGTGAGAAAGCATGGGTTGTTGCTAAGATGATTCTTCCAAAAGATTCTGAAATGCTTTTCAATATCATGGGAGGGAAAGCAGTTGGGGAGAAAGGAGAATGCTTTCACACGCACAGAGGCACACACACACACAAACACCTATAAGGATTCAGTATTCCAGTCCAGTTTTCTTTGCATTCACTCTGCTTTTCTCCCAGCCTCTGTTGCCAATTTCCTATTCTTTCTGGCTGGCTGGCCCTGAAAGCATCCTGCCTTGTTAATCATTCTGCTGTGAGGTCCCCAGGCCTGACCCCTATTTGAATAGCTTCGCATTTCAGCACTTTTCGCACCCACCAAAGGGTCGTCAACAATAGGCCATAATTAAAGCATGCCCAGCTCTTTTTCACCAGGTGCAGGACCCAATGGGCCTGTCCTCTTGATTCAATTAGAATATGCTCTCCCCACCCTCCCTTTTTCTTGGGCACTGGAGACAACAAAAGAAGACCCAGAATTAGCTGCAATCCAAACACTTTTGGGTTGTTGTTTTTTTTTTTTTGGAAAGTCTTTTAGTTCCTTTCTGTGCCAGCTGCCTGAGAGAAGGGCTTTTCTAAATGCAGGCATGGGGTTGAAGACAGGTTCTGGGAAAGACTAAGAAACATAAAGCGCTTCCTCCCTCTGTTCAGTAAAAAGGAATAAATCACTACAGAGTGTGGTAACTAAGGAGGGAATTAAACCCAAAACCTTACCAGAGCTTAGCAGAGAATATTCTTTTATTTAGTGAACACTGTGCATTTGCTTTAAACAGATTTTGTTTTGTTTAATTGCTGTTAAAGAAAGAAAGAAAGAAAGAAAGAAAGAAAGAAAGAAAGAAAGAAAGAAAGAAAGAAAGAAAGAAAGAAAGAAAGAAAGAAAGAAAGAAAGAAAGAAAGAAAGAAAGAAAGAAAGAACCCACACTCTTTGGAATGCAACATCAGGTCCTTAACTAGCACTCAAGATTTCACAGCGCTGGAGAATTAATAATTAGGCATGCATAATCTGAAGGCATTAAAAACCAAGATAAATTGTGGGAAAGAAGATGCCACACTCTTGCTAACTTCTATACATCCCAACTGAAGACAAACAGTTCCATGTATTACACTGGTAAAATTGGGGGAGGGGGAAGTTGATTTTGTTTTGTTTTGAGTCACTTCAAGCATGGGAAAACGGAAGCCGGATCCTTCCTAGGCTGGGAAGCTGCACTGGAAGTTATGGATGGAAAAAGGCCATCTCCCACCCACGTTGTACCAGCCACACCAGGTCAATGGCAAATCTTATTTTTATGTTTAGATTTGTGTCTTCTTAAGCAAATCTCTCCCCAAATATATCGCACAGAATTCCTTTCCCTACAGAGGCCAATCTGGCCAGGCAGAAAAAGGAAAAATCAGAAACACATACAGAACGTGCAAGCTCTTGAGTCCCTTGAATGCTCCTTCTGCAATGTGACTGATGGCGTTGTGGCTCAGCTGTAATATCTGAAGTCCTCCCAGGTCTGCCAAGCTGCCTTCATCCAGCCTGGTGAGGTTGTTGAATGACAATGACCTGAGATGAAGAAGAAAGAACAAGGCATCACTCTTGGTGTTTTCCTGAAATTCTCTTTTCTTTCTCTCCACAACAAGCTCAACAGTGTTTCCCAGCATCTATGTCCTGATGAGAACAATTATGTAACTAACATGTTAACACTAGCATCTTCACTGTCTGGAAATGATTTTGATTCCTGCACAGACCGTGAGGTTAGACTTCATGGCCTTACAGGCACGTTCCAACTCAGTTGCTATATGATTCGTCTATGACCATTTTACATAGCCACTACATTTATACCACACAAATCAGTTCCTCAAGGCATCTAAAAAGCAAAAATGTACGATTTCCATTTCACCCCCAGTGGTGAAGCCAAATCCTGCTCAGTTTTAGAAGCTGAACTACTTTCAAAGTAGTCTCATGGGGATCTAAGGTGGCACCACAGTATCATGGAGAGAAGTACCAAGCTTTTTGTCCTCTTCTAAACCTTGATAGTTCTCTTACTAATCCAGGTTTTACCAACATTGTCATGGGGATAGGAAAAAGAAGCAGCTGGGTAAGCAAGAAAATCAGAAGCAAATATCAAAGCCTAAGTCAAAGCAAGTACCAAGGTCACTTTTTAAAGCAAATACACTGTATACCTTCTGCAATAGCCAACAGAGGCAGCACTGCAACTAAGATTATTGGAAGAAATTCAGAAGAGATTAATGGCTTTCAGGAAGGCATGGAATGACATACATTCATTCCTAAAGAGGCTGTGTTGTTGAATTATGTGGAAATGGCAGCCAGTCAAAATTATTTCCTTACCTGCAATGCAAGAATTTTTCAAAAGGGGAGGGGGGAAGAGAAAGAAGGGGAAAAAATCCAGTGCTAGGAGTCAATGCTAAACTTGATGAGGGAAAATGTTCCCTTTAATATTCCGCATGGATCCTTCTGTCAGAACTGGTAGGGAGTGTCTCTTTTTTTACATCATCTTGAGACAGTCAAGAGCAAACTTCAGAACATCCAATTATAGTTCCAACTGACTGAGGAGACGCACCTACTTGTCCACATTTTAGTCCTACTGTTCTCCTCTCCTGATGCTTGTTTATGAAGCTGGGAGAGTGACCCTGGCTGCCAGATGGGTGGTATATATATCAAATACAAATAAAAGTAAAGATCAGACAATTTCCTTTCAAGAATTGGAAAGAAAATTCTTCCTGGGGTAGGGTAGGGAATTGTGAACGATTTTGCTTGTTTACAGATCTGTACATATTTTATTTATTTATTTACAAGATTTTTTAGCCGCTCCATTACCAAGGGTCTCTAATAGCAAATATCAAGGAAATAGCTATGTGCCGTCAAGTCAGAAACAACTTATAGTGACCCCAACAGGGCTTTTAAGGTAAGTGGTTTTATCCGTTCCACAAACATTCCCAACCCCACAGTGAATTTTCATGGCTGAGAGCAGAATTGTACCCTGATCTCCAGAGTCCTAGACTGTCACTAATTCCACTATGCCGTACTGGGTACTTATATCAAGGAAGTACCTGGCATATTTGAATACTTTAACATTAAGTATTAATGTTAACATTAAGGAATCCTTTAATAAAAACAAGTTCTCAAAGTAAAGGAAAAGCTCCAAACACTACAGGGGCACCATTTGATGCTTCCTCATGCCATTTTATTTCCATTGTCACATAGGGGAATCATTTAACCCTATCTTGATTCCATGCAAAAGGCTTATAGGAAACAGGTAAGAGGAGAGTACACGCCCTGCCCCACTCCATCTTATCTCTCAACATCTGTATAGACCCTCCTTGCGATCATAAATCCTGAGTAACCACAGTTCCTGGTTGTATGGAAATGCTCCACATATGGAAAGAGCTCTCCTCTTCAGATTTACCTCTGCATACATAGAGAGTTAAACAGGATTAGCACTTTCCTTCTTTCACATATTTATTTTAGGCCAATGATTCCTAACCTGGGGATCGCAAATGTTTTCTGGAGGGGGGGGGGCGTGGGTCACCTTATATGTGTTGTAGCCTTTGTTAAATAATTTCTTCCTTGACATTTTGGAGCCGGATATTAAAGTCAGTGCGTATGTGTATGTATGAGAAACAGTCCCATTGGAGGAGAAAGAAGCTTCTACTTTCTGAGAAGGGATGGCTCTACCTCATTAAAAATGACTTTTTATGCAAATGTGGGAGGGGAGTTCGCAGGTTACTTGGCTATTATAAAAGGGGGTCACAACTCAAACACAGTCGGGAACCAGTTGCCCTGGTGAAACCTTTTGCAGGAGAAGAATGGTACCACCCAATATAAATGTGAAGGGCAGGATGATACTGGAGCAGGTGCTTCTTCAGGTACTTGGATACTAAGCTATGTGGGGCTTTAAAATGTTGGGGTCACTATAAACATGAAACAGCTATTCAGTGAAGTTCATTTAAAATTACACAATCCAATTAATGAGAGCAACCCCAGTCAAAACTTGTGCCACTGTCATTTACGGTAACTGGAACATTTACAGAGGTAGTCCTATGTATAACACACTGTAGTAATATCTATTTCTTAATTTTTATTCTTTGCTTCCCAGAATAACTAACTCACAGTTCGTTTAGCTTCTGGCAGAAGCTCCACCCAGTGGGGCTGATTCGGGATATCAAGTTGTTATTGAGATGAAACTGTTGAAGAGAAACAAGACCGTACAGGGAGCCGCTGTTCACCTCAGTGAGAACATTGTATTCCAGATGCCTAGAAAAGAGACCAAAACGGATTTTGTGATTATGCTCAAGCTCACAGCTAACACTGATTTAGACACAAATATAGTACATTTCTTAAGGAAACATAGTTCTACGGAATCTCTTCCTCGTAGGGATTTTTTAAAATGTGTATTTATTTTAATATAAGTGTTGGCAAATCGTAGCCTTGTACCACATGTTCACCTCAAGTCCATTTTTGTAGCTCCTGCACCCAATATTTCCCTAGCTCTCTTTTTTCCCCCGAAAAAAAAAGGATAAACCACTACTTCTGGTGGCTTCCAGGAATGGTAGTCAACCTTCTTAGAAGTCTATGCTGCCCTCAGAGGGGCAAAAGGCAAAATTCTGGCTCCAGAAACACCCAAATTGCTCCCCCTTTTAAAAACTAATCAATGCTGATGATAATGGAAAAGAACTACTTCTTCACCAAATCCTTAATGAACTTAACCGAATTCATTATCACAGTGATAGCTCAGGTAGTTAAAAAACACCTCATAGACAAAACCATAAAGCAGCTTTCTCCAACATGGCTCTCTCTAGCTATTTTGGCTTATAAACTCTACCAGCCTGTGATACCCGTACCCCGGGTCGTGAGGTGATGTTGGGAGTGCCGTCTCGCCCTAGAGCCTCCGTAGGCACCCAGACCGCTCCCATGCCTTTCCCACTCCGGATGCTACATCAGGCTGTGGACACCGCAGATTTAGAACGGGGGCTGAAGGGGTTAACAATATCTACCCAGACTCCACTGGTTTGGGCGGGAAGGGAATGGAAGGATCCAGAGGAGGGAGCTGTGGGGGAGATCAGTCGCAGGAGAGACGTTGAAGAGGGTGGATGGCAATGGGTGTCCATCCAGGACCCTTGGACTGGCAAGTGGGAACAGGTGCGTCTCACTAAGCGAGAGGCGGAGGAAAGGAGAAGGAGGGAAATGACAGTGCGACCCTCATACTGGGGAGAAAGGGAGACTAGAGAGTGGCGGCGCAAGTTAGCTGAGGAGAAGAAGAGAGTGGAGAAAGAGAGAGAGGAAAAGAGAATATGGCATCTGGAGGAGCTGAGGAAACTGGGTTATTACCAGGACCCTGGGAGTTCACCGGGGCAGAGAACCATGTACCCTGGGGATATACAGGGCATGAAGAGACAACCCCACTATTGACAACGGACCCGGATGACATCGAACCCGAAGAACCCTCCCGGGTTCAGGCTGGCCCATGGGCGTCGAGGTCAAGTAATCCGTTTGATGAAGATTGGGTGCCCCTGTACGAGCCGTTGCTCCCACAGGAGAAGTTCGTTCCCAAGCTGATAGACATTTCTATTCCCTTGCCCCAGTTAATAAATGAAGACAAGTTGTTTGGTTCAAAAACGTCTCCTGTTTTATTTGGTTCGGGGGAGGTGAAGAATAACGGACCCTCACACAGCCCTAGGCAGCATGGCCAATGCCCACACACACAAAGAGAGTTGTAGGCTAAAACATCTTGAAAGAGCCGGAAGGGAAGGCAGTTAGGCTGATATAAAGTAGGTCTATCCATGATTATCTGCATGATAGTTAAACAGATCATCCATCCATACTTCTAGAGCAGTGGTTCCCAACCTTGGGTAACCCAGGTACTCTTGGATTGCAATTCCCAGAGGTCTTCACCCCTAACTGTGCTGGCCAGGAGTTCTGGGAACATCTGGGGACTCAAGATTGGGAACCACTGTTCCTGAGCACCAAACACTGCGAGGTTGAAAGAAAGTGGCTGCCAACTTCACGTTCAGGAATAGCTAACTCATCATTGTGGAAAACAAAAATGCTATTATTTAGACAGTTTCTGTTCTACTTTGGCATCTCTGCAGGCAACAAAATTCCTTGCATAATTTCCAAGTGGAACTTCCATACCTCCACTTATTCTGTCCTAAACTAACCACAATCCTATGCAGATTCACTCAGAAGAAAATCCATAGCACTCAAGTAAGCATGCATCCTTAAAGTGGAAGTCAGAAGCCTACCCCTTCAGGGACAAAAAAATAATATATTTACAGCTGAACCACTACATGACAAAATTACCCACAAGGTATATGCACGACACAACTTAAGAAGAGATCATACAAAAGACTGCTTCTATCTTATTAATTAAACTTTTCACTTACAAAACTTGCATTTTGGCCAGACCCCAGAAAGCTCCATCAGTTAGTTTGCTTATGTTGTTGCGCTGTAGCTTCAGGACTTCCAAGCTGCCCAGTCCTTGAAATGTCAGGCCTTCAATCAGACGAATGCGGTTCCGGTTCAGCTCCCTGAAATTATCGACCACACAGGAGAGTGTTAAATCAGTATTTTACAGTGCACATAATTTTCAGAGGCAAAGCAAGTGGCAAACCAAGCCTTGAACCATCTCTAGGAAGGATCCTCACCACATCTGCCCAGAAACAGTAATCTGGAGCGGTGGCTTGCTAAAAAAAATTCCATGGTAAGGAAGCATGAGCAGAGGTAAAGGGGGAGGAACGGGCAGTTCTTAGAACACAGTCAACATATTCTACTTGGGTTTTTTCCCCCTTTAAATTATTTATTTATTTATTTAGCATCATCACATTCTTAGAACTCACATGCATATACAGTTATAAATATTCTGGTTTCAGCAAGCAAAGGTAGTAATTTAGTAGATGAATTCACATATGTGTCAGAATGCACAGGTTTTTAAATGACACAGGGTTTCATTTCGATCTGGGGTGCTATATCTAGCAAACTGTGAGTGGCAGGAAAATAGTGATGTCCTGTAAACAGATGGCGTTTCCACTAAGTTGTAAAAGGGAGATTTCTGTCGCAATCCTGCATGTGCTGCCTAAAGAAGCTGCACATGCAGAACAAACATGTTCAGAGTTTTCCCTTCACTCAGGTTTCCTGAAAGTAAAAAAACTAAATGTGGATCCAACACTTCAGCTTTATTCACAAAGAAACACCACTGTGAAAATCATTTCAAGGACTAAGTATTAAATGCTTTGGATCGTGGCGAAAATAATTCAATGTAACAGAATTAAAAGTTCCCAGAGTACTATATTTCAACTGGAACCATGATAGCCATAGCAGTAGAGCGGTGGTTCCCAACCTTGGGTCTCCAGATGTTTTTGGACTACAACTCCCAGACGCTGGCCAGCCCAGCTAGTTGTGAAGGTTTTTGGGAGTTTTAGTTCAAGAACATCTTGGGACCCAAGGGTGGGATATTTGCACAGAATTAGAATCTGGATTTTGTTTTCTGATATGCTCTGAAAAACATTTAGAGAAAAACACACGAGAATTAAACTCTTAAATCCTTGGCCTTGTTTGGAACATTACCCTTTGAAACAAACAGATAGTGAGTTTCTGTGCAGAAGAGTGGACATTTAAATGCAGTGTCTAAACAGGTGACTTCTTCAATAGTAAATAACGAAAATCAGTTTCCTTGCAATGCAGGCCAGAATTCTTCTAGTAACTGGATTTCAGTAAAAGTGATCTCATAAGCTGTTTTGTCTCTGTCTGTACAGAAGTCTCTCCCACCCCATTCCTCATGTTTATATATTTACCTCTATCCTCCATCTGTCTGTCTATATTTTTATCCCACTCAACTAGTAGCAGAGCCACTACCCTGGCCAGCTAACAAAGCAACATAAAAGTAACAAAATACTAACAATAAAAACAAAGGGGGGAAAAAAGGTCAGACAACATTCAGAAGGGAATCATGATAAAAACAGTAAAATTACAAAAAATAATAGGCAGCCAGGCAGAGAGAAGTGGTTAAAATGACTTAATCTGGAGCAGGCTATGAAAAGGCTTGCAAAAATAACCAGGTCTTAAGTTTCCTCTTGAAACCAAGGAGGGAAGGGGCCAGACACACCTCTAATGGGAGAGAACACCAAGGCGATGCAGCCACCACAGAGAAGGCCCAATTTGGGTAACAGATTTCCAGGACTCCATTGAGGTGGCCACTTGAAGCATCCCAATATGAGAGGTTTGGGTGGGACGGCTAGATGTTTTGAGGGAGAGGTGCTCAGACAGGTCCCTATAGTTGAAATCATATATTGAATAGTGCATGGTGTAGCATTTGAGTCAGACTCCAAACTTCGAAGAAGTCGCCGCAAGCAAATGTTGAAAGCCAAAGGTCAATTCTCTGCAAATAAAGCACCTTCACAGATGCAGATGTATATTTATGACTGAATGCAGCCTATGCTACCCTGTTGCTGTGCAAACAACTGCGTGTGTGCGAATTCATCAAAAGCACCATTTCGCCCATCTAAATGCCAAATGAACAATTTAACAGCCTTCCTTCACTGTAGTTTTTTACAGCCGAATAAAGATGTATGTGTGGTCTTGAAATCCGAGTCAAGAAATCCTTCTGACCTGCTTTGCTCTCACTGCCTTCTTGCAAAACAAACGGAAAAGTCAGAAAAAAAAAACAGATAAAAATACATCAGCTGAAATAATGATACTGTATTGTATGGTCTAGATAATTAATGCACAGATTATTTTACAGTTTTTTTTTCTCCCCTTGCTAAGAGTGAGATCTGCTAAGTCTACACCATGTGGGACCACCTAAAAAACTCTGTTCCTGCTCCTAATTTGTTTTATTAGGTGTCACCATAGGGCCATTAAAATATAGTTTATTCAACATTTTATAGGTGCCGGGTGAAGAAGAATTGCATTTGGTGAGCATGTCCTTAGGGGACGTTTGTCTCCATAAAGCTTGGTTAGACATAATTAAAGTGCCCATTTCTACTCACAGTTGCATTAGCTTCGGCAGCTTGAACGCTTTAACAGGAAGCTCGGTGATCCTGTTTTTATTCAGGCGAAGTGTTAGTAGGGATCGTGACAGGCTATCAAACGCCTTGGTCTCCAGGACGCTGATTCTGTTGCTCCCCAGGTACCTGCAATAATTCATTACAGAGCATTCAAAGTGTCTCTGTCAAAGGTCGCATGATGTTCACTCTCTATCAGAGTGCTTGGCAACACTGCACTCAAAACTGAAGTGTTCATCATCATCATCATCATCTTAGAACTCCAGAGCTGGAAGGGATGCTGTTTTCTGATGCCCTGAGACAAATCAAGCCTTTTTTTTTCTGATAAAAGAATTTAGAGAGCTGTTGATAAGAGATCCCTCAGCACCCTCATTCTCCAAGAGCAATCAACAGCCAAGGTCACTCTATAAGATGCTGAGACCAAACCACACCATATACAGAATGATGCACATTGTGGCCTAGTAGGTATAGTGTGGTGGTTAAAGTTGGATAACTGCATCCAAGTATGAATTAGACAAAGTTCTCTATATGACTTCTCTCAAAAACAACTTCCCTGATGGGAATGTTTTTCATCTAGCTCAAATGGATGTGGCTAAAAAGGATTAGACAGTGTGGATCGAGTTGACTTCAGGTTTGTGCAATTTTCCAAGGTCTATTCAGTTCTTTTGCATGAAACCACGCAGGAGAATAAAAAGATGGTGGAGATGGCTGAGCGCATTTAAACCACCAAGGAAGGCAAAGATCTGAAGTAGAGACTGTAAGCATATTTGGCTTAATGTGCTTACAATGCTCATATGACAGGGAGAGACCCAGATCATGCAGAAACTGTTAAGTGTGCTGAACCAAATGCACGTACAGTTTCTGCTTCAGACCACTGCCTTCCACACACAAAGATCTCAGCAACTCCTAAGAGGTGAGGGGATGCATTTCATATGTATCTCATGTCATTGCCACGTATTTAGATCTGTAAAGTGGTGCCTCGCTAGACAGTTACCCCGCATGACAGTTTTTTCGCTAGATATTGACTTTTTGCGATTGCTATAGTGATTTGCAAAACAGTGATTCCTATGGGGGAATTTCGCTGGAGAATGTTTGGCCCCTGGTTTGCAAACCAATTTTCACTAGGCGACAATTTTGACAGCTCCCTCCGTGCTTGCAAAACAGGTGTTTTCGGGACCTAAGCTTTGCAAGACAACGATTTAAACAGCTGTTCAGCGGTTCGCAAAGCGGCTTTCCTATGGCCAATCTTCGCTAGACAATGACAATTCTTCCACATTGGAACGCATTAAACAGGTTTCAATGCATTCCAATGGGGAAATGCTTTTCGCTGGATAATGATTTCGCTAAACAGCTATTTCAGTGGAACAGATTATCATCGTCTAGCGAGGCACCACTGTACATAGCTTCAGGTCTAACTGAATAGGTTAGTTTGTATTTTACTAGAAGAGATCCTGCACAGCTCTCTATTTCTCTCTCTCTCTCTCTCTCTCTCAAGTGTGACTCTCAAGCATGTGACTCTCAAGTGTGACTCTCAAGTGAATAGGTTAACTATGTGCTACAACCTACGAGCCACATAATTCGGAATATTTTAGAACTCATTCCTTCTTGTATAAATTGATACTTTTCTATACAACATTTTAGAACAAAGCTTACTTACAACTCCTTTAAACGAAGCCCTACTGGGAAACAGCCACTTAGGATCTCTGTGATGTTATTTGAACTTAAATCCAATGTTTCCAGGGCAATGAAAGGCTCCAGCTGGCTTGCTTCAATCCTATGGATCCTGTTGCGATTCCTACAATGCAGAAAGGGAAAGAGTCTGACATAATCCACTTCCCTTCTCCTTGAATTAAAATAAGTACAAATGTTCAGCATTCATAATCTCATAACTCATTTAGCTCCAAGCTGTGTCCCTTCCTTTGCAAGAGAAAATAATGATTTGAAATCTCTAAAATGAGGTCAGATAACACTTTATTAGATTGACATAAGTTGAAGTAAACAAACTTTCAAGTTACACAGAGCAAGTTAATCAGAAAGAAAGCATTTGAGTTTTCGATTTTGTTACACATATATAAGGCCTCTGTACTGGGGAAAGGGTGAAATATATAAGCATATGGAACAAAATGAATTATAAATATATAAATGCTTTTGGTGATTTCTGAAATGTAACTAGGTGGCTGAATAGCTCAGTAAGTAAGTGTTACATACAGCACTGATGTTACCTGTCTGTCATGGGTTTGGAGGGAAAGTTCCATCCTATGGGGAGTGGAAGGCGGGACATCAGGAGGAGGGGCTGTACTGTATATATATGTGGAGCGTGTGTGGAGAAAGGGAGAAGCTGGAGGAAAAGCTGAGAGAAGAAGCTTGAGTGGGAGTCTGTGTGTCAGACAGGGTACTACTGTGTGTCAGGTGTCCCTTCCTTTGCAAGAGAAAATAATGATTTGAAATCTCTAAAATGAGGTCAGATAACACTTTATTAGATTGACATAAGTTGAAGTAAACAAACTTTCAAGTTACACAGAGCAAGTTAATCAGAAAGAAAGCATTTGAGTTTTCGATTTTGTTACACATATATAAGGCCTCTGTACTGGGGAAAGGGTGAAATATATAAGCATATGGAACAAAATGAATTATAAATATATAAATGCTTTTGATGATTTCTGTAATGTAACAAGGTGGCTGAATAGCTCAGTAAGTAAGAACACCTGGCTGAAGAGGCAGGAGTCAAACATTTGATTCCCCACTATGCCTCTGAGAGAAAAGCCAGCCTGTCTGGCCTTAGTCAAGCTACATGGTCTCAAAGTGAATGGTTGGTGGCAGCTTAGTGAAACTGTGGCATATCCCAGTAGGTCTGGGTTTGTCACAGTAAGAACATCTGGCTGAAGAGGCAGGAGTCAAACATTTGATTCCCCGCTATGCCTCTGAGAGAAAAGCCAGCCTGTCTGGCCTTAGTCAAGCTACATGGTCTCAAAGTGCCCCCAGAGGAGGAAATGGAGGAAACGTCTCTGTTAGTCTTCCTCGATATCTCAGCGGTCTTTGATACCGTTGACCACAGTATCCTCCTGAGGAGGCTCTCCGAGTTGGGAATTGGTGGCCCGGCATTCGCTTGGCTCCGTTCCTTCCTGGAGTACCGTCCTCGGAGTTCAGCTTGGGGAGACGGTTTCAGCCCCGTGGAGCCTCAATTGTTGCGTTCCGCAGGGGCCGATCATCTCTCCAATGCTGTTTAATATCTACATGAGGCCGCTGGGTGGGGTCATTAGGGGGTGTGGGCCTTTGTGCCATCAGTACGCTGATGACACTCAGCTCTACATCTCCTTTTCACCAACTGCAGGGGATGCCGTTCTGTCCCTTCAGCGCTGCCTGGAGGCTGTACTGCAATGGATGCAGGAAAATGGGCTGAGGCTGAACCTGGACAAGACGGAGGTGAAGCTTTGTGGAGCTGAGTTAATTATTTTGTAAACACAGTCTTCTTTCTGTTCACTCCTAAATAAGCATTCAACAGCTCAGTCTATGCACATAGCAAGGGAAGGCTTAACCCCTTCCTCTCCAGTTGCTTCCTTTTCAAAGTTCATCCTATGTACATAATAGTTTCCCACACACACACACAAAGCCTCCATGGGTATCGATGGGGTCTTTATTTATCACCATTTGGATATATAGGAGAAGGAAGGATTAAAATTTACATCCCCATATAAAATGGTCATAATCTGGATGGAAGATACACAGACCTACTTTGGACAAGAAAGCAGAGGAGCTGCATTCTGATATAATTGATTTAATAAGTGGCTTGGCACTTAAGCTCTGCTTAAGTGTCAGGATTGTGGCTTTAAACAGCCTTGAACTGCCTTGGGAAAAGGGGAACACAGCCACTCTGAGGAACCAAGAAATATTCTCACACTGGTGGCTAAGAATTAGACTACAGTACTGCTTGGAATTTAAGCCAATGGTGAAGTTGGGCAGAAAGTTAAGGCACTGCTTTCAATGTGCACTATTAAGAAATGACAAAATAGAACAGGTGGTACTACTTCAAAAGATCATGGCTTTTCCAGGAACACCCGAGTATCCTTTAGAAGGTAAAGTTACACCTTAATCCCCTGGGTAGGCCAGTGTTAAACATCTTTGGAAATATTGATTGATCCATTGTTTCAGTCGGCTTTTCCACAAGGAGAAGTGGGAGGAGATATCCTTTTTCTGATGCTAAAGATGCAGTGCTTGTTCCAAATGGTGCAAGTTATTTTTGGTTTATTGAAACACAAATGGGGAGAGGGAAATTGCACGCTTGACCTTCATCTGGTATCCGCTTACATGACTGGCCAGGCTTTGTTAATTTGGGGGGGGGGGGGGGGAAGAAAACCTAATACAGCAAAACTCTATTAAGACACCACCTGCTATAAGCATCAAAAACAAAACCAAGCTTCAAACGAGAGAGGAGCTCTGCACATCCCTTTTCATTCTATTAATATTCAAATATGTTCATGTACGGGGGGGACACAAGAATTAAACCAGCTAGAAACACCAGCTACCAAAGGACACCCAAGGTCTTGTGTCAATGAGGAACATCAAGTCCTAACTGGAGTTCTGGATCAAAAAGAGAAAGCTGCACGAGGCAAATCAACTAGTGCTATGAAAATGGACTTTTCCATTTTCTCCCTTGTACAGTGGTCTGGTTAGCCACGGCCATGTCCAACCTCTGCTTTCTATGAACCTGTTAAGGTAAGTTTTTCATCAAAAGGAAATCACTTCAATGGCTCAGCAGATGCTTGGTTCCAACATGTCATATTACACATATCTTCCACTCCAGTGACCGTTTATGGGTCTAAATTTTCATGTACTGTACAGCTTTTCCAGAATTGCTCCTGTGCACAGTCATCTCTAGAGAATAAACATGCCTGGAACACAAATGAGACTTCCCTACTGCACAAACACCACAAGGTAACTCCAGCACGGAGACCATTTTCAGCTCTCAGCATATAAGGCATGCACAATACTCAGCAAATCAAAGTTGGGACATCAATGGTGGAATTCGGTCTTTAAGACAAAATCTGCAGGCAGCATGGGACCCAATATGTCCCATGCTTCAAACTTGACATTTCCAAATAGCAGGTGGAGGGCAGAGAAAGATGCTTGCCCGTGCCCTTCGTGAGCCACTTGCCCGTCAGAAGAAGGCAATACTGAACAAGGTGGATTGATAACGTGACTCAGCATAAGCACAAGAACATGAATTTGCAACGTCAGATTAAACAGAGAACTAAAAACTGAACTTTCCTCTGAGATTCTGCTATCCATTTGGCTTAATGTGGAGTACATAAATATGCTAAACTAGCCTAGTTTAAGGATGCACATGTGTACCCTGTGGCAGTGAAAAATGCAATAGCATAAATCCAGTTCTTAGCCCAAACTAGGGCACACCTGCCAAATCAATGGGACTTACAATGAGTGTTGGCTTTCCAGATTCCCACAGACCTAATGGGAGTTGCAGCTTACAAGTCAATTTAAGACAAAACACATGTTTCACGTCATGCAGACCTGTGAAACGTTAGCTAGTTAAAAGTACTTTTGCTTATGCTTCTTACCTTAGATGGAAAACCCAGGCTGCCTTTGGGGAAAGGTTTGTGCTTTACAAAGCAAATGCAGTGCTACAATTACGTTCTTCAGACAGGAAGTGAGTATCCATAGAAGCAGCCCCCATTTTTCTCATAAGCCATGGAATCGCTAGTTCCCAGGAGAGTGTCTGGAAGATTCTCAAGGCTCTTGCAAAGACTGTTCAGGTGGAGCTCAAATGCACAGAAAGAACAGTCTAGACTCTAGAGGTTGGGTATATTCATGACATGCTTTGGACAGTCACTGTGAAACTCAATGTAAGCTGCATTCACCGACTGCTTAATCAGTTACAGCACTAGCCCTGGAGTAAGATAGGTGGTACTGTTTGTAGATTTTTAACAAAAAGATAATAAGAGTTGCCAGCTCCTGTCCTAGTCTCTCAACATGAAACTCTTCTTGCCCAGGATTGAAGGAGAAGGAAAGGTTTACAAAAACCAGCTGCACCAACGTTCAAATGCAATCAGCCATCGTTGGTTGGTTAAATGTCCAAATGGAGGTTTAAACCAATCCAGCTCTAGCAAGAGAGGATAGCCTGTCTCTGTTTAACTTCCAAATACGAGGGGCATTCAGGTCCAGCAAAGTTGCTACCACTACGGGATAAGAGAAGGGACAAGGATAATCAGCAAACACCCCTGCAGGGAGTCAACTGCAGCAGCTCACAGGATGGCCAAGGAAAGCAGTGCCCGTGGGACTAGTTTCCACAAGGGTCAGCAGGGAGGAGAACTCTGCGACGTAGATGTAAAACCCTCCCATGGTAGCAAGCTTCGAAAGGAAGTACTGTATAGGGATGGAAGTGCTATCCTTAGAGCACCAACCTCACTGGAAAATCTTATCTACCATGTATGCACAACAACAACAACAACAACAACAACAACAACAACAACAACAACAACAATAATAAATGAAAATGAAAAACTTCAAGAGAAGCCTCTTTTTCTGTGTGTTTAGTCGTTTAGTCGTGTCCGACTCTTCGTGACCCCATGGACCAGAGCACGCCAGGCCCTCCTGTCTTCTACTGCCTCCCGGAGTTGTGCCTCTTTTTCTGCTTCCCTAAATATGGTGCTTTCTCATCAATGGTGTGCAGCAGTTTCTTTCCTGTAGCCAGATTTCTGAGGGAGTGGGTATTGCCTAGCTACAGAAACGGCCTCTAAGGAACGGCAATTTCTGCTCTGACACCACCATCCCATCTGAGAG